ATACAGAAATGATTTAGTCTTAAGAAATTCCCTTCATAATACTAGAATGATAAAAAAAATATATTTTAAGTCACCTCAATCATTAGTAACTTTTGTGCTTATAACCTTTGAGTTGTTTCAATCTGTCTAGAATTTGATGGTCTTAACTTTGGCATTAATTCTCTTATTTCCTCACATTATTATCCGTAAAGCCTGGATTTCACCCATGTACCGTGGCATCACAATTTTAAACCTCACTTTACTTACAAATTTGCAGAATGCCAGCAGATTAATATATATATATAGAATTTTAAAATTTTTACTAGAATAATTTTTAACTCTGTATTAATTGAAGGCTATAATATGTACTTTAAATTAGAGGTATATATTTCATTGTAGTGAAAAAATGGAGTTAATATGTTGTGAATCACATTTATTCTTAAGACTATTGTGGTGAAAGCATAAAAACTACATAGGCCACATGACATTTCTAAAATATGGATACAAGTTTATAAAATATGAAATACTAGCTGAAAAAAGTTTTACTTGTATTTTTATCTAGGGAAATCATCCTGTATAGAATCATTTTTAAAATTCTGATGACAATTCTGTAAGTCCTACTTTCAGGAAAATAGTAGGTATTATCACGCAGTTTCAATGTCATCTTCGTGAAGACTGACCCTGGAACTTCACATTTTCTTGGTACTGCAAAATCTTTGTTGCTGTAAAATTAGGTCTCAAGACTCTGAAACATTTAAATTTAAAATACAATGCATGCAAATACACACCTGAATAATTGCTTTTAGGCAATTAATAGTTTATAATAGTTTAGTATTTAACAAATTATTACCAAAATAAATAAATGTTAACATTCATTATTGAATTGCAGTATAAAATAATGTGTTATTCATGTTAAAGTAAAACTTTAAATAAATCACTTTAATAACAATGTAAGAAACTATCTTTTAAGGGTTTTCTAATGTGCAAAACCTATACTGTTTTTGATGGAAAATCCAGGACTTCTAAATTTTAAGTGAACACTAACAAAGGATTTTTAATCTTTATCCTTCATGTTTCTGTGGCCTGCCGCTCAAAATTTCTTCTTTTATATTTCCATCCTGGTTTCTCAATTCCTGATTTTCTGAAAATGCAGAAAAGTAAAAAGCCTTGGTGGTTCTAATATGTATTCTAGAAGCCCAAGGATGTCAAACACTTCTATACCAAGTACATGACAATATGTACTTGTTACAGATTCACCTAGGATGTTGGGGGAAGTGGGAGGGGAACATCCCAAGATGTACCCACTTAAGAAAATATTTTATATTTGTGGCTCTACATTTTCTGAACAATACTTACTTAAAATATAACTTTAGGGCTTTTCTTTAAATGGTTTGAATGTTTACTTTTCTTGGAATAAAGACAGCTTATTGAAAATTACTTAATGAACAATTATTAATGGACTACTGACAGAGATGTCCTTCCAGCAATGCCTTTTTTTTTTAATTGTTGGGAGGCGGAATATTTGTTAGAAATATTTACTTGGAATTTGTAGAGGAAATTAAGAAGGAGAACTTGTTTAGGAGACAGATCTAAAGGCCTGGCAAGCAGGACATTCAGAGCTCCAGACTTTTGAGGGGTACCATCCCTCTGAGAGCAAGCAGCCTTTTTTCTAAAGTTAGCAATTAATAAAAATTAGCTACCTGAAAATAATAGATGAAAACTGGGATTTAGAGAAGCCAAGCCCAGTCCTTGTTTACAGCAAGCATAAAACCGGATTTCTAATCCACGGGGCCACCATCACCTATTGATTGCAAGGACATCTGTGCCCCTGTTTTTGGAAGCAGGGTTTTCTGTGGAGGCAGGGCTAAAAAATCCGACCATTTCGGTTCCCCTGTGTAATAAACAGTTGACAGGACTCTCAGGAGTCTTGAAACCCACACCTTGGCTCGCTTGTTTCTCACCTACCGACAGACCCAATTACAAGTCCTCCCTTCAGCCTTCAGAAGTTATTCTTCTCAATAGTGCAATCTACGAAGAAGCGTCTCTAGAACTGATGTGGTACCCTCTAGCAGACAAAGGGTAAAATGCTTTGTGCGCCACCGAATACAGCCTCGTCCGCCCCAGGCCAGCCCAGTGTAAGCCACCGCGCTTGACCCGAGCTCAGTTCCGCTGTGGAGCAGGACAATGACCTCTGATTGTCTTAGAGCCCCTTAACCCCTTTCTTACCGCAGAGCTTCCCTCGGGATAAAGTCTCTTTATCCTAGACCTGACAGGGGCGGGGTAGAGGCGTGTGTGTGTGTGTGTGTGTGGGGGGGATGCTTGATCGGTCCCCAGGGTGACCACTCAATCCCGGACCAAGTTTGCGATGCCCTGACTCAGGATAGTTGCCAACTGCAAAGCGTGGAGCTCAGGCTGAAATACTGACTGAGGATGGGGACCCCCTGGCGATGGGGAGCGTGTGTGTGTGTGTGTGTGTGTGTGTGTGTGTGTGTGTGTGTGTGTGTGTGTGTGTGTTCGTATGGGGAAAATTGAATGGGCACACTGTAATTTTGAACTCAAAAACCGCCCTCCTCCCCCTAACACAGACTGCTTAGCAGCCCAGGCACAAGAGAAAGCTTATTCGTTTCCGCTCTCACTTCTCAAGTTCACACTCAAGTTCAAACCTTGACTCCCACAAGACGTCTGAGTAGTCTGGCTCTTTTCTCAACCCATCCTTAAAGAACAACCCCTGATGTTGCAAAAGGGCAAGGTCTGTAGGAAATGCGCAGCGACGGCAGGGGACAGGCAGTAAGGGGCCTAGAAAGCAGAGACTGAGAGAGCAAGAAGGACGGCGCCACTTTTGAAGCTTGCGTTTTTCTCCACGCGTCCCACCAGGCCGCCTGAGAGTCACCTTAAATTAGAACTTGTAAACCGTCCTGGGCAGCCTGGCTAGGGTAGCGCCCTCTAGAACGCAGGTATGGGCTTAGTCTGGTTTCTCAAGGTGAGCGCCTGACTTTCAACCCTGCAAGGTGCTCGAGTACTCAAAGCGAGCGCCGTGGCGAACCTGAATTGTCGGTAAACTGCTCCTTCAGGAGCAGCGCGATCAAGCTACATCCATTCCTGCCCCTCACTTCTCTGTTTTGTATTGTCCCCCCCCCACACACACCGTACACACAATTTTAGAGGAGCGTGAGCGGCTTTTATGCCCCAGGTCCAAGAGCCGGGTCGGAGCTGAGGTGGCGCATGCTTTCAGATAGTCAGAACTTAAGAATCCAGACTTGGGAGGAGTGTTGGAAGGGGTGAAGCAATAGAAGAAAGAACTAGAAGCCCCAGACTCGAGCATAGGGGACCTAAAGGAGAGGGGGTAATGGTGAGATGGGACAGGAAAAAACAAAACAAAACAAAGACTAGTTTCCTGAAAGAATTTGGACAGTGGAACATGCGAACAAACCCCCAGCTTGGACACTAAGCTTGAACCAGCCCGCACTCGCGGTGCCCCACTACCAGTGCGCTGAGGTCAGTCAGGACCACCCCACCGGAACGCCCCTGTTCCTTATCTTCAGCTACCTCCCTCCCACCCCCCTCCTTGTACAGCCTCTCCATTCCTCCTCCTTTCCTTTTCCGCCACATCCCAGCGCCCAGCCCACTCTCTGCTCTAAGCGTCCAGGCTCGGTGCTCACTGCATGCGGAGCAGGGGGAGCGTGAATATTGCACCCTCGGAGCTCTCCTAGAGAGGTGCTGGGGGATTCGCTGGCAGGAGAACATAGCCAGGGTTTGCCCCCAATCCTCCCAATAGCCTCCTGCCCAATCCACCTGTCGCGGGGTCAGTGATGCAGGAGGGTCCGGAGCTGGCCGTTTCCAACTTTCTGTTGCCAGGACCCAGAGAAACTTGCGAAGGGAACAAGAGACACGCCCGCCCCCCAAGAACAGCAGGGTGGCCAGGAAGAAAAACTGGGGGTGGGGGCGGGTGCCCAGGGGCTTGCAAAGATCCCCACTGGCACGCGGGCACTCGGCCAACTCTCCAAGAAAAGAGTGAAGTCGTGGTCAAGCGGAAAGTGAACAGTCGGTCCCAACACAGTGCGCAGGAAACCTTAAGGTCCTGTCACCGCGGGGCAGGAGATCAACAAAGTGATTCCCTAAAGCCCGCCAGGCCAGCCGTCGGAGCAGCCCGAAGTGCAGCAGAAGCAGGTGTCTGGCCCCTTATCGCCCGCGCGCCGCCCCGCAGCCGCCAGCTAGCCCAGGTGGTCCTGCGGCTGCCTGCGCCACCTGGGGTCCTGGCCCAAGAGCTTCACACAGCACTGCCTCCCGCAGCGGCCCTTTGACAAAAGAACCGTCCCCAGTGCAGGCAGAGCGGGCTCTCTTATCCTCTGGAACTTTCTCTGCACAACTTTTTCGGGGTGGCGCTAGTCCCTGGTCTGCGCGGGCTCGGGCGCGCGGACCTGGCCAGGGCGCAGAGCTGGAGTTGAGAGACGCGCGCAGGGGACATCTCGGAGTCCGCGTCCTGCCCCGCGACACCGCCCCCCTGCCCACCACTCTCACGAAGGGACGCGTCAGCCGGCCGGGATGCTGGTGGGCTTTCTAACCTGGGGAGTGTGTGTACCCTCGCACTCCCACCCCGCCGCCCGCCTGTGCGCCCCGCGCGCCCAATCCCGGTCGGTGACCGCCGCGCGCCGGGCGATTCCAGCTGCTTCTGCAGAGAGGCATCCCTCTCCCGGCTCTCGCTCCATCCAGCGTCCGCTTCCGCACCCGAGAGTGGCACGCAAAAATGGTTCAGTGCAACCCGACTGGGAAGAAGCAACTAGCGTCGCTCCTCTCTCTAAAAAGCGCCCTCCCGTGTCCCTCCAGAACTCAGGAGAGGCATCAACACCTCCCCACAACTTTCTAGGGCCAGGCCATTTGTAGCCCACCTGCGAATGCGAGCTCGGGAACTGCGCCCCGTTAACCTCTTTCCCCTTCAGCTGGGTGCGCTCCCCTCCCCCATCTCCCCATCTGGCTGGAGTTGGCCCAAACCCGAGAGCCTCCGTGCCCGCAGGCTCGCTTACCTCGCATGGTGTGGCCGCTCTCCCGCTCCGTGTAGTCATGAAGCTGCTCCCAGCCCGAACCCCGGAGAGCCCAAAAATCCCGCTCAGCACGAGTGAAGAAGGTGGTCGGCGAAGAGCTGCTCCGCTGAGAAAATCATCCCTTTAGGCGGACGCCGTGGCCAGAGGGTGACGTTTGCCGCCGCCGCCGCCGCTGCTATGTTAACAGTTTTGACGATGGTGGTGGTGACTTGTTTTGATGGTTGTTTGGTTGGTTGTTTGTTTTCAGAAAGGGTGAAAAAAAAATGTGCTGGCTGGCTAGTGCCTGGGTTTTGTTTTGCTTTTGTTTTTCTTTTTTCTTTCTCTCCAATGTGCTTGCTTTTTAAAAATGCCACCGCCTCCGGCTCAGAAGATTTCTTTTGTGATCACTTGGACAGAAGAGGAGGAGGAAGGGCAGCAGTAGGAGGAGGAGTTGGTGGTGGTTTTGTTAGTTACAAAGAGGAAGAAGGAGCAAGGAAAAAAAAGGGGAAACAGAAAGAAAAGAAAGGCGGTGTGGATGGCAGAGCATGTGCGTTTTCACATGACATCTGTGCCTGTTAGCGGATCCACAATGTGAATTTTCACTGTTCAGTTACAGGGAGGAAGGCTGCGAGAGAGAAAGAGAGAGGAGAGATGGAGAGAGAGAGAGCCGAGAAGGGGCTTTATACGCGGGGGCGGGTTTGGCCGGGACTTCTAGGCCCCGCCTCCTGTCAGCGCCACCACCAATCAGCGCCCGGCACCGCTTGAAGGGGCTGGGATCACGGGGAAGGGACCCGATTGGAGGCAAGGGGTGGGGGTTAGGGACACGAGTTTAAGGCGGCCAGGGCTGTAACTAGGTGTTAAGAGACTGTCCTAACTGTGCAGAAGAGAAGGACCCAAAGAGAGTCGGGCAGATGTGTAGGTGACATTTCACTTCCGATTCCAAGAGGAGGGAGAGGACACTGAGCAGACCTTCGGTGGCGAGAGCCGCGGGCTCTCCGGATCCTACGTTGGGTCCCTCTCTGGCAAAGCCTGTGGGCCCCAGACAGTTAGTTTTGAATTGATGGCAGCGTTCTTCAGAGTCCTTTTTTGGTGAACTCATATGTCTGGCGAGGATTTCCTTGGGCAGGACACTTCAGTTTTAGCGTCAGAATAATACAAATCAACTTCCATCACTTTGAGATCAACTAAAATGCAGTCCCATGCAAGTAGCAGTCCGCTTCCTTTAAAACCATCTTTAAGATGCTTCCTGCTCCCAAACCCAAAAACAAACAAACACAAATCACAGGTATCCTCTGTTTTTTTTTAAGGTTGTTTTAAATTTTTGATGCTTTCTTTTGTCAAGGAAATTGATTTTTATTAGCATCTGGAGAATCTCCTAGCGTTGGGCTACACAGTTCAGGGATAACAGCCCCAGCTGGCATCGTGGCTACCTTAGCGATCCAAGGCTCAGGACTGAGGCCAGGCTGTATGATTGTGTGCTGCTGTTGATTTGATAAAGGTGTAGGTCTTTAGGAGGGAGGAACTGTTAATTCTAGTTGCTACTAGGAGGCATTTACCACTTTAGAGGAGACTGGCAATTAAGTGTAGGTAAAGCTATTTGCATCCCATAGTGTCATCTATGACCATTTATTTATATTTTGATAAAAATCTAAGGCATATATCAAAATGTTCCTTTGCAAGTTTCCTCCTCTCGCTGAACAAAATAAACATATACAGATGATGAGATCTACTTCCCACGTTAGGTAACTTCGTAAATACTTGAATTGGTCACCCTAAAAGACAGAGGGGTAAAAAAATTTGCCTCATCCACTCAGTCTTACAGCATTGAGGCGTCTACTCCTGAACATACCTGTTGGCAGAGCAGGTCTGGTTCTCCGTTAGGTACCTGAGTCATTTGATTTTCACTGGTATATATTCATATTATGTCATGTAACAGACAATGCAATGTAAAACTGGTGATTATTTAGTTAATTAGATCACTTTACACTGCTGAGTAGTTTTTTCCCCCCAGATTAAATAAAAAACAGATTACTTGCTGAATCTTCAATAGTGTTAAATTGACTTAGCCCTGCTGTATGCCCTTTCATTTGCAAGCCAATGTGTAATTTAGGAAAGTTTTAGTATTAGGAATGAAAGTTGATTGAGTCTTTAATTAAATGAAATGAACAAAAGGAAGTTACTGTTCAGAATAGTGATTCCCTTATAAATACCTTTCCCTTAGTTTTGTAATTGACACAGTAGTTAATCTTTTAAGATAATATTTAAGGCTCCCTGGTTTTTTATCACTTTTAATCAAGTAAAATAGATTCATCAGAACTACATTAAAGCTGCATTAAGTTATGCCTAATTTAGTTGCTTCATTAAAAAATAGTGAATATAAAACAGTTAAACAAATTGTGACTTCATCATTTTAATTTTTTGTCCTTCAAGCAGAGACACAGGAATATTGAAAATTCCAAAGCCTTTGTAAACACTACAATTATTATTGATGCTGTCATTATTTTAGATTTTTATTTCTCATTAAAAAAGAATTTCAAAATTCAAAGTTTTTAATTCTTTAATTTTTAGTCTTAAGTTTCTAAATATGTGTTAAAGTCTAAAATTTCTTTTTACTGCTGCTATATCTGTAATTCTTTAAAAAAAGACAGTCAACACATATGAAAAGTACTCTTCCACCTTCTGTACATTTTTACATGTTCTTTGCTTTGTGGGTTCAACTATACATAATTTTGCTTAGCACTGTATCACATATCTCTTAGTGCCCTTGAAAACTTTTGAAAAGAATGTTAATAAGAAATAATTATGTTTTATCATCTTTCAAAAGCACATATATAATATGTTATATATATGGTGGCACGAAATATTTATTTTCTCTTTTAGAGTGAACAAATCTTGATCACTGGTTATAATGTGGCGATTTGGGACGTTATGGACCTTCCTAAAAATTTAAAAACTCAGTTCTTAAGCATTCCTAGTAACTTTCAAATTAGTTCAACTGAATGGAACCTTTTCATATAAAATAAATATTCAGGATTTAAATGAGAGAAATCAGCATTTTCCAAGAAGTCATGAAATACTGAAGTATAATCTGATGATTTTGTAACCTATCTGCCGGGATACACCCATGTTTCAAGTGGTGTAATGATAATATATAAATATAATGTCCTTGTTCATATGAAGTACAGCATTAGTGACTTTGTTTGAATGATTATGGAACTGCTTGGTTTCCTATAAGCTTGAAACTCCGCTTTTGGCTTTGGGCCTGAAGGATGTTCTTAGCTGATATCTAAATTTTGATAAATTGAAATGAAAATCATTAAGTCACGTAGCACTGTACTTAATCTCAAGTAAATGATATAAATTCACTTAGGCTTGCCTGCTTACCTGATTTCCCCACATATCGCCATCCCTTCAGGTTACCTGCTAAGGCCTTGGAGTAATAATGACAAGAAATATCCTGGGGACACAAAGGTTTGATATGAGCCGACCAGTTAAGGTGACCAAGACATTTGGGATTATTTCAAGCCTTAAATGCTTAAACCAAAATAGGAAGAAATGGTTTACTATATTCTAAGCTGGTCAGTCTATATAAAGAGAGACTACTTTAAATAGTTATGAATCTTGGAGGCATATATTAGCAATACTGATAATAATATTACATTTAGAATGTCTAAAAGATTGGGTATTTTAAGCCCAGCTTCAGGAGGCCTGTATGGCTGTGAAAGCTGAAAAAGAGATATAAAGCTGCCTTTAAATACTGGGAAAGCCAGAAAAATGTGAGAACTTTTAATGTTGGAACCTATTAAAAAAAGAAAGGGTGGAATACTGAGCTCCTTGTTGCTGGAGGCATCCAAGAAAAGGTGGAATGAAAGACAAGTATACAGATTTCTCTACTAGGCTGGAAATTGTTTAAGATTACCTTTAATATCTTTCGTAAGTCTAAGTGTGTTCACATATAGGTAATTACCATGACCCCAGTAGCTGCAACAGAACTAATGCTCTGTACCTGAGGATGCAGGCTCCTTGATAGCCAGAGCCAGGGTCTTCCTAGAGTTTGGAAGAGCTTCTGGTACTTTATAGATACCTGGTCACTATTGGTTGAATGAATGCCTTCTACTTGTTTGTCCACTGGGTGTGAATCAGAAATATAGCAAAGACCTGAATAAGATCTCTTCTTTCTGAATTTCTAATGAATAAAAGAGACAGAGGGAAAGGGAAAGGGAGGTGAGGTGGGG